AAAAACAGTTTCCTTCTGGTGACACCAGACGTGACTATAGCCCAACCTATTGACCCATTGAGTGATTTCGTGTCTAATAAAAGGAAAACCCACCTAGGAGAGGGCCTTTGAAATTGGAACATCTCTGCTCAAAACACCCACTCATTCATTCACTCACACCCTTGTTGAGTACTTCCTGTGCGCCAGGATCCACGCCAAAAAGAGGAAAAACCAACCATCGTCATCCCTACCCTCACATAGCTTGGATAAGAAAGTGTTACCACCCCTGACCTCCTGGGCAAGCCCTGCCCTCTGCCCTCTCATTGGAGGCCAATTCTGTGCAGGTTCCTCTAGAAAGGCTGGACAGCTGAACCAGCCTCTGGATGTGCCAGGTCAGGGTGGGTGGGGGTGTGTGCCAATTGGCTCAGAGCAGCCAGGCATGGAACAATGATGGCCTGGCCCACGGGGAAGTCCACACGTGAAGAAGGGAGCTGCATTCGAACATTCAGTGTCCATGTCATAGGTCTTTTAAAAAATATATCAGTGTTTAATCCAAGCACAGTACATAGCCAGAGCTGCATTGCCTTGGGTGTTGAGAACTTGGGACATGGATTTGAGAATGCCTGGTGACCCTGCCCCACACCAGTGTGTGCACCCTCATGGGGCAGCGCCAGAGGCCCTGCTTGCAGCTGCAGCATTAAACCGATGGCCCCTCCATTTCTGAAGTAACTGCAACCCTTCAGTACTGAACTAATAGCACCTAATTTATTAGTCTGCTAGACTCTTAAAACAGATTTCGTGCCAAAATGCATGGTTTTCCACTTAGCATTCAAAACGTTGCATAGCCCGTAGTTTTCAATTTCCTACCTACCCTTGCAAGTATGTTGCAATGGTTTCTACATTTGAATACCTTTCTTGTTGGATCTGTCACCTTCTCCCAGGCTGTCCGTATTTTTTTTTCCCCAGCAGAACTCCCCGCCGCCCCACCCCGCATGCAGCTGTGTAGGGACTTTGTCCTTGACTCCGCACCCGCAGTGGCCCTCCCAACATGCACATCAGCCCTCTGTGAAATTCTTTAGATTCTTGCTGTGAAGTATTTTGTTACCTCAGTCTTGTACCAAGTTGCTGTATTTTTTCAGAGCTTGTTATACTCTGATAATAACCGTTTCACGAATTAAATACTTTAATGTACAAACATCTTTGTTTACTTTGAAATTAAATGTGTTTTTTTCAATGACTGTGGCTCAGTGTATTAAACGCGAGACAAAATTTCCTTGGCGAACAGTTGGCTGCTCCAGATGCCAGCTCCACGGGTTAGGTGAGGAGGAAAGGGCGGGGACAGTGGGGGACACCGCCCTGGGATGGGGAGGGAGGGGAGAAGGGAGGCGTTAGAGGTTAGGGCCCGCTTGGAGATTCGGCTAAAAGGCTGCAGCACTGTGAGGCTGGGAAAGCAGGCGACCACAAGAGTGCTGGAGAGGAGCTTGTGAGGCCAGGCAGAACCCGAAACCCACTCCAGCCGGCAGTCAGTCCCCAGGACGGATGGAGGGATCCCCGGCTAACAAGCACTCTAACTGGGACGATGCCCGCCAGCCAGGACACCCCCGACCCCAGGGCGATGAGGATAGCCGGCAGTGTGGACCGGGCAGCCTCAGTGGCCGCGGTACAGCTGTGGACCGGAGCTGGGCCGGGGGTCGTGAGAGGGACGCACCGAGTAGGGGGCGAGAAGGCGGATCTAGAAGAAAGATGCAGCGTTCCTCGGGGCGGGGCCAGGCCTGTAGGCGGGACTGACTGGGAGAGGGAGCGGGGAATGACCCCAAGGATGGAGCAGTGCCACGGCTGACAGGGCCAGAGATGCTGAGGTGACGAGGTGACGAGGTGACGAGGGGCGACGCTCGCGCGAGCAGCGCCTGAGTGAGGACGGGTGCCACGCGGGAGCTCAGTGATGGATGGGTAGGTGGGCAGGGCCAGGGTCTGTGTTGAGGGGCGAGAGGCTACAGGAGCGGGGTTGAGGTCCTGATGGGCTCTACAGGGGTGTGGCGAGCCGGTTCGAGAAACCTGGGCGAGTGGCGGGAGAAACCCGAGGCGCCACTGGAGCTCGGAGAGGGGCGGGACCGGGGCGTGGCCAAGGCCTAGCAAAAAGGTGTGGGGCTGACCGAGCGGAAGGTGGGGGCGGGCTCGGGGCGGGGCTGCGTTCGGGGCGGCGCTTGAAGTCGGAGGAGTTGGGGCGGGGTCTGGGGAGGGACGAAGGGTTGGCCACCGGCGGAATTGCAGTGAGGGGCGGGGCCTGGGCCTGGCTAACGGGCTGGCCGAGGTGGGGTTTGGGGCGGGGCGGGGCCGGGCCCGGCTGAGGAGACCGGGGGTCTGTGGGGCCGTGTTTCGGGGGGCCCGGGGTGGGGCTTGCGTGCTGCTGAGGGGGACAGAGCCGACAGAGCCGGAGTTCCGGGGTGGGGGGAGGGAAGAGGGGGAGGAGGGGACGAGGCGGGTCAGGACCTGGACCCGGCTGAGGGGCTTAGGGGCCGGTCGGGCTGGAACCCGAAGAGGGGCCGGGCCGGGGCGGGGCGTGGGCTGCGGCGCGCGAGCCGAGCGGCCGGCCGAACCCGCGGAGGCCCGAGCCCACCCGAGTGCACCCGAGCCCGAGGCCCCCGCCCGGGGCGATGGAGCCGGAGCCCGGCGGGGCGGCCGCGGCGCTCCTGCGGCAGAAGAGGGCGGCGCTGCGGCGCAGGGGGTGCAGCTTCGAGAGCCCCAGGTATCGCGGCCCGGGAGGGGGTGCAGCCCGGAGGGGAGGAAGCCACGTGGGGTGGGGGGGTGTTCGGAGGGTGGCGGGTGTGAGGGGACCGGGCGCGGGAGGCGGCGGTGCGGGAAGGGATCGGCCGAGGCTGGAGCTGAGGAGCCGGGGCCGAGCAGCCGTGTGGGTGGGAAGGTTATCTGAGGGGGCCGGGTCCTCCTCCAGGTTCAGGCTGGGGTGGGGGGCGAGGGTTGGGCAGCGGTCCCTCGCCGACGGGCTCCCGGAGGCGTAGGTTCTATAGGAAGCCCTGGGCACACCGCGGGACCCGGTGGGTCTTGGGCGGTGGAGAACGTTCCGTAATGTCAAGGACAAGGTCGGGAAATGGACCCCTCGAAGTCAGAGGAGGTCTTCCTGGGACAGCGTCGCTCCCATCCTGGCGCCCCAGGTGCCTGCACACCTGCTGCCTCAGCCCCGCCCATCCCCGGCTCCTCTGCACCCCGCCCCCCACACACACACACTTGCAGAACCCTGGGGTCCGCGCCCTTCACCAACGCATCCCCTCCGGCGCCCCTGGCGTCCTCCCAGCCCACCCACCTCTTCCTTACCTGCGGGGCGCCCCGAACCTGAGGCGCCCCTCCCTGCTGCGGCGCTGCCCCTCCCGCGGCGGCTCCGGTCTCCTCTTTGCCTGGAGTGCCATCTCTGGCTTCCACGTCGCTCTTGTTGGCCCTACCACGTATGCAACCATCCCCGTCCTCCTCTTCTGGATGCTTTCAGCGACCCCCGACCGAAGCAAGACTCTCATGCTTATTCTTAAACCCTCTCAAGCTGGTTCCTGAAAGGGATTGATTGGAGCTCTCGACCGTGCCTTCTTACAGCGTGCTCTCTTGAGGGGTTCCCTTCCCTGCCCACCGCAGTAATGGGGAGACCAGGAGAAGGATGGGGGTGTGGGATTCTGGCCCCGCAGAGGCTGCAGGGAGGGCTCAGTTGCTGGGAGGAAGAGAGGCCCGCCCTGCCCCACCCTCCCTTGCTGCACCTGCCCTGCTGTTGGGAGGACCTGGACCATGACATTCCTGGTTGCTGCTGCATCTCCAGAGCTGTCTCAGGCCTGGCCCATCACTGACATTTATTTACTCCGTGTGGCATGGACACATGTCTGACCAGCTGGTGACTTCTCCTTGGCGCCCAGCTGGGCCTCGTTCCCCGTTCCTATCTGGATTGTGCCTGCCCCTCCTCCTCCAGGAAGGTTTCCCTGAGCCTGTGAGTCCCATGTGCCATCATGGCTAGCTGCCTGGGCAGTCACCCCGCTCGACGGGTAAGAGGGTCAGATGTGGCCCTGTGTCGCTGTGCCGCGCCTCCGAGCTTGTTGCTGAAGTGTGAGGGACGGGGAGATGAGTGGGAGGCTCAGGTGGGAGGCTGAGTGTTGCCCTGTAGAACTTTCCTCCACTTCTTGGAACTTTCCTCAGCCCTTTGACCCTGGGGCGTAGTGGTCGCCATTAGCGCCTAAGGCTATTATTGAGCATCTCAAATGTGGCCCCATCTGCTAAGGAGCTGAGTTTTTCTGTTATATTCCTTTTTAATTGATGCGGATTACTGTTGGGGTGGATGGTTTTCACACTGGACAGAGATGATTTAAGGCAATTTTCTTTCCGAATTCCCACTTGCATCCCCCCACCCTTGTCTTCCAACCACATGTCTCAAGAGGCATTTTTTTTTCTTTTATTCTCTCTTTGACACCCATGACATTATCTCATAAACAGAAAGGCCCTGTTGACTGTTTCTCCTGGCAGTAAACGATCTGTGTTTTTAAGAGGAAATTGGCAATCATAAACTTTGCATTTCCCTGTAATCGCACCAGGTATCAGCTATAATCTCCCCTCCTGGGTGTGGAAGTGCACGTGTGCCTGTGTGTGTGTGAACATTTTAACTTGCGTTCTCAGTATTGTGTAAGGATTCCTCTGCCCTTACACACGTCTTCAGAAACCGGGTTCAGTTGCTGTATGGATCTTACTGTGGGACATGTGGTTCATTTCTTCAAGGATGAGAGACTGTGGCCTGGGTGTGAAGAGGCGGTCACTTCCATGAGGTAATCTCATGGAGGTGACGGCGGGGGTGGGGGAGGTCGTGGCCTCCAAGGGAATAAGCATTTTAAAGGCGTTCCAAGCGTAATGTCAGAACACTTGTTCACCAGTTGTAGCGGTTGACGGCTCCCCTGGGTCTCCTTCAACACTAGGCCAGCTTCAGTTATACATATGTGCCACGCTGGTATTCTGTCGTGATTTGAATGTCTTGTTTGGGAGTGAGGTGAACCGTCTTTTCACATGTATTCGTAATATGCACTTATGAAATGATAGATGCCTGAACTGGGCCTAATTTCCTTTTGGATTGTGTATCCTTATGGAATGGAAGCAATTTTTTCAATTATGAAAAGAATTCTGTCTTTTCTGTTTGTTTATTTTTGATCAAATGTGTAGCAGGTACTTCTGGTTATTTACATAGGAAGGTATTTCAAAGTGTTTGTGGAATAATGGAATTAAAAGTATGAGTTTATTTTGATGCAATTTTTCCATAATATGATATAGAAAATGTTTATTATGAAAAACCTGTGGGGCTGGCATTTGGCATGGTGGCTTAGGTCACTGTTTGGGGTGCCAGAATGCCATATTGGAGTGCCTGGGTTCAGGTGCTGGCTCCATTTCCGATTCCAGCTCTCTGCTAATGCATGCCTTGGGAGGCAGCCGGGATGACTCAAGTGCTTGGCTCCCTGCCACCCACAAGGGAGACCTGCCTGCACGCTGGGTGTCTGGCTGTGGCCCAGAACTGGCTGTTTTGGGCATTTTAGGGAGTCTGCCAGTGGATGGAAGATTTGACTCTCATTCCGTCTCTCTTTGCCTTTCATAAACCAAAATTCCAGACATTTTTTTAAGAAGTTCATCCTCTAAAGAAAGTCTTTGCACTGACTTCAAACTTTTTATGCAGCAAAATAAACTCAGAATTCCATTTTGTACAAGCTTTCTGAAGTTGCCTAATATTTGTGTTTCTTCAAGACTGTGTGTGTGTGTGTGAGTGAGAGAGAAAGAGAGAGATTTTTCTATCCATTCATTTCCTCTCAAAGTTCCTTGAAACAATTAGTGCTGAACCAGGCTGAATTCAGGGGCCAGGAGCCCCACCCACGTTTCCCAGTTTGGTAGCAGAGAACCGAGTACTGGCGCCATCCTCTCCTGCCCCCCACAAGGTGTTGGCAGGAAGTGGGTTAGAAGCAGTGTAGACAGAACTTGACCCAGCACTGTGATATGAGATACAGGATTGGCAGGTGGGCTGTTTAACCTGCTGTGCCACAGGGTTCTGGTGGTTCTTTTTAAATTTTTGTCAGATTTCTTCCTTCCGTTTCTGCTTAAGTAGAAGAGTGTTACTGAACTTAGATCAGTGCCCACAACAGCTTCTCTCATTATTTTTGTTGCTTAAGAATGATGATCAGCATCAGAGTGGCCCATGGGACATCAGAACCACACAGGTGTGTGCTCCCCTATTCCAGGTCCACTGATGCAGAAAGTCTGGGGAGCCACCACTCATTTGCTTCCCACTTCCTGTCACATCCCACGTAGGTGTCACTGCTTCACATGCTGGGCCTTCGAGAATATGGTTTAACCATATTTACCCCATCATCTTGTTGGCACTGGGGAGAAGAGGCATTCTTTCCACACTAACAGTTCTGCTTGCTAAGTGCCCAGGGTCAGTTCTGATAACTGGCACACAGTCACAGCAGGCCAAGTAAACGTGCAGGGCCAGGGTACAGTCCAGGATGGAGGCACCAGTGGGTGGCCAGAGGCAGCGGGAGAAACCAGCAAGTAAGCCTGGAAGCAGGCCGCAGACATGCACGTGGGCCCGTCACTTCCCTAGGCAGGCCTGTCAGCATTTTGTGAGACGGCATCGTCAGATGATGTTCAGGAATTAGGGCTGGAGTGAGACAGGTCTGGGTTCAAGTTTCTGTCTTTCTGCTCATCACTACACATGTGAACGTGGACAAATGGCTTAAGGACTTTGAACCTTGTTACACTTGTCTGTGAACTGACCTGCCTGTTTCAGCATTAGCGTGAGCTCTACATGACGTCATCGACCCAAAGGGCCGAAACTATTGCCTACCATTGCCTGACAGAAAGCATAGCTGATGAGGAACTTCTGAGTGTATTCCTGAACTCCCCTCCCCCTTACTTGCTTAAAACCCCAGCTTGGCCCATTCTGTTGTTCCCCGGCCTTTCCCTGGCTTCCTTATCTTTTTGAGCTGCAGACTGAGGAAGGGAAGAAGGGAGATAGTGATCGTGTTAGTCCACTTCTGTGTCATGACAGTGGAATGTCTGAACAAGCTAACTTTGTCATGAGAAATGGTCCGTGTCCCCCACCGTTTGGGAGGTTTTAGTTCAAGACTGGGTGGCTCTGTTGGCTTGGTCTGTGATGACCGTGGTCCAGGTATGGGGGAATGGACAAAGGAGTGGTAGGATGGACACCCAATCCTCCCAGTAGAACCACCCTTAGAGGCATGCCCCCGTAACCTAAGGACCCACCCCCAACCAGGCTGACCTCCATAAAGAGTACCACTCATTTACGACTTTGGGGTTTGCTGTGTATCCAAGTTGGGGAGCCAAATCCTGTTCAAACCTTTTCAGGTGCGCAGAACATTGACTAGGAGTGGCTGAAAAGCAGCTGCTGCAGGTGGGAGGCACTGAGGCAACCTGCTTTCTGTGGAGAAGCTAGTAGGCAGGTGTGTGACGTTTTAGGAAATGTATCTGTTGCCTTTTGTTCCTTTGTGGTGGTCAAGAAATACACAGTGAACCTGAGTTATCTTGGGTTACTCTTAATTTCTGAACTGCCCCCTTTTGGTGACAATACCTCGTGAAGGCGAAAGTGCACTTGAACCACAACTTTAGCAGGGTTACAAACATTCGGCATCCCCATCCTGTCCGCCTTGGTGTGGCTCTCAGGCCATCAAGTGTCACCATCGCCTGGGACCTTGGTAGAGCTCCCCCCTCCCACCCCCCGCACCTCACCTCCAGTCTGTTCTATCAGACCCCTCCAGGTCTTGGAACCAGTGACTTTTAGACTGTCAGCATCCACAGCAGGAGTGCTTCTGAGAACACAGCTTCCTGGTCCAACCCCCAGATTCAGACCCACAAGCTCAGTCACCGTGGGCTCTGTGCATCTGTATTTCTAACGAGCTCACAATTAGTATCAGCTCCACTGACCCAGGGACATGCTTTGAAAAATCAAGTCCTCTCAGGGGCAAAGTGGGCATTGCTTCTGCAGCCACTGTGGCTGATCATCCAGCTTCCATCAACTGTAACCAAGAGCCAAGGTCTGCTTGGGTGGAAGGGCAGGCCAGAGTGAGAGGCTTGACTTGAACTTGACATGCCAGTCTCACGTGGGTGTCTTAAGCAGCACCAGGCTAAAAGCCCACTCTCCACCCTTCTTTGTTGATTGGCTGGCATCTAAGTCTTACCAGTAACTAAAAGTTTTTAAGTTTTTTTCTAATATTGTTGAAAGCTGTGAATGATGAGCAGGGGTAATTATAGGTTCACATGACTGTGAAATGCAATGACAGCGACCCCTGTGGGAGTGGGTAAGCCCAGGTTCTGGGACAGCGCCCTCAGCTGGCTTTATCCTCTCACAGGCTTTATTCTCAGGGTCTGTCTGCATGGATGCCAAGCATGTACCTCCCAAGGCCTGCTTCCTACCAACGGCCAAGCACACAAGAGAAAAAAGAAAGTAGGGCTTTCTCAAGCATTCTGGCTCCCGCGCCCCGGGTTGGTATTATCTGTGGGATCTTGGATTATCTCTGAACTAACTGCTTCAGCCAGAAGAGAGTGAAGCATACTCTTGACTGGGCCTCACCCCCATATTCAACCTGGAACTGAGATGTGAAATCACTTTCATTCATAGAGACCAAAGGTAGCGATTTCCCAGTGGAAAATCACCCCCACAGTTGGCAGAACGAGGGAACGGGTACTGGGACAGCCAAAAGGGGCTGGCGAAGTGCCATTATTTCTAGAAGGTTCTTGTAGAATTGAGATGCACGGGTGGCAACCAGAATCCCCAAATCAGGGGTGTCTGTGCTAGTTCTGGTTGTGAAAGGGCACCTCAGTTCACTTTAATAGTTAAATTACGGTTGCTAAGTTTAGCCTAGTGGGTGCCAAGCCCTACTGCAGACAGAAGACTCTGAAATCCAAATGGGAATCACGCTCTTTCCTCTCCCAGTGGCTGCTGGGTGCACGGCGCCTTCCTCCATCAGGCCACACAGAGCCTGCTCCCTGGGAGAGCAGCACACCGGATGCCAAGACAAATGCTTGCTTGTTCCTGAACTGCTTTCCAGGCCAAGAGCAGCTTGGGAAAGAGCAGTGCTCCGTTATACACAGGGCTGCCTTCTTTGCTTCTTCCTTCTGTCTCTCCTGGCTCTGGGATTTTACTTTTTTTGTTTTGTTTTGTTTTGTTTTGTCATAGTTGTTTTTCCAGGTGATTCTCCCACCCCCACCCGGATAGTCTTATGAATGTTGTATTTTAATGGACACCGCTTTCCTCGTCTGCATTTCTGTGTATAATGTCATTTGTGTTTGGATCAGGCCCTTAAGTATTTAATCACAAATAAATCTGCTACTGTTAGTTTCTTTTTGGGAAAACAGCAGTCTTCCTGGGAAAGCTATTAAAAGGCTGTCTTGTGTGGGGCTAACATAATGGGCTCCCAGGGCCAACAGAACTAATTTTAATATTATGTCTGTTCTGTGAAGAATGGGAGGGGGGAGAACAAGTAACTTTTATTATTCATTAAGATTTTAAATTAATGCAAGCCAGCTTCCTTTCTTGGAGGAAGACAATAGTCAAATTAGGTGGTTGTCTGGTTTCCAGAATGGGAGATGTGAAGAGATGAAGGCTGACAAACAATGCTGGGTGGGGGATTTGCAGATTTTGGCTTAAATGAGACTCACTGCTGATTTTCCTGGAGAAAAAGAAGATTCTAAAACAGACTGTGGAGATGCAGAGTGTGTGAAAACAGGTCCACACAGCCAATTGTCCCAGGAGCAAGGACCGCAGAGGACAGCAAGCAGACGACCCAAAGAACTTTACACAGAAGCATGCTCATGAAGGCTTGCTAGGTGTCTGAGTCATTCAGACTGGCTGTAACAGAATGCCCTATACAGGGTGTATATTTGCATATATTTCCCCCCTTAAGTTTAGTAATTAATTTGAAAGGCAGAATTACAAAGAAAGGGAGAAATAGATTTTCCATCCTATGGTTCTCTCCCCAGATGACCACA